CGCCATCCAACTCCAGAGAAAGAACTGATGAACTCTAATTACAGATTGATAATATTTTTTCACTTTGTTTTTCTTAGGTGTTGTTGCTGTGTTTTCTTTTGGAACATGGTTAATATGGAAATATGTTTTGCATGACTTCACATATATAACTCATATCATGTGGCTTGCCTTCTCAAAGGGTGGGAAGAATGGAGAGAATCTGGCACTCAAATTTTTTTTAAAATGAATGTTAAAATTATTAAATATGTAATTGGGAAATGTTTAGCAAAATAAATTTTAAAATTTTTAAAGTATTTGGGCACTAAAAATCAACTAGTGATTCAAAGAACAAATTACAGAAACAATAGAAAATTTTATCAAAGAAAAAGATGATGAGACAACAAAGCAAAATTTATGGGATACAGCTAAAATAGTTCATTGAAGAAAATGTATATCTTTAAATGTTTTCATTAACAAAAAGAAAGAATAAATCAATGAATTAGGTCTGCTGTGCTTTGTTTTTTAAAGCTTGAACAATAATAAATCAAAAATCCCCAACTAAATAACAAAGTAGAAATCAGGAAAATTCGGAGGATTAATACAATTGAAAACAAAAGGGTCATTGAAATGATAAATAAAATGAGCTGGTTTTTTAAAAAAAATTAGTAAACTAGGTAAGCTAGCTGACCCGATTTTTTAAAAAGAAAGAGTAAAACCAAATTATTCATACCAATATTGAAAAAGGAGAACTTACAATAATGGGAGAGGAAATAAAGGAAATTATGGGAAACTATTTTGCCCAGGTATATGATATCAAAACTGAAAACTTGGAGGAAATAGCTGAATACTTAGAAACAATACAAAATACCCAGATTAACAAAAGCATAAATAGGCTTCTCAAATCACCTCAGATTAGAAAAAGAAGCTGAAGAAGCAGGAAATTAATTTCCAAAGGAAAAAATCCCCAGGATCAGCAGTGATTTACAAGCGAACTTTACCCAAAAGTGAAAGGTTAATTCCATTACTATACAAACCATTCGCAATAACAGGAAAATTCCGTTCCAATAAGATTATATGATAGTTTACTTAGAAAATTCTGGAGAGTCAAATTTTAAGAAGCCTAATTGAAATAATAACTTCTGCAAAGTTGCACGATATAAGATAAATCCATATAAATCATCAGCGTTCTTATTACATAACAAACAAAACCCAGTAGGAGGAAGTACAAAGGGAAATTCCATTCAAAATAACTACAGAAGCCACAGAGGATTTGGGACTGTATCTACTGAGATTCACTCAGGGACTATATGAATCTAACTCAGTAGTCCATAAACTATAAAAATTAAGCTCCAGCTATGTGCCAGGTATGGTGCTTGGCCCTAGGGATACAAATGAGAAAAAGACTATCTCTGGAAAATGGAGAGTTAGCTGCAAAGTTCTGAGCCCACCACCAAAGGAGGTTTGGGTGAAGTTTATTGCTACATCACTCCAATGCTCCAATCAGGGTGGTGAGACAGTTGAGCATAATAAGGAGGAAAGTGAATTCAAACTCCAAGCTGTTTAGGTCTCTAGTGATGAGCTTAACCTGGGGGAGGCAGCACGTTTCTGGGGAGTCAGAACCGGGTAGAGCAGCCGATGGCATTTAAACAGAGCCCGTGTGGGGCGTGGGCAGTGAATAGGGAGGAAGTGTCAGTTCACGCTTGGTTACACCGAGAATGTAAGAACATCAACAAAAACATTTCTATTAAATTAAGTTTTGTGTCTCAAAACTCTTTGCAAAGATGTAGACTTAAATTACTGGAGAAGCATGCATTGCTCATGGGTAGGACGAGCTAATATAGCTCAAATGACCATACCTCCTAAATCAGTTTACTCATTTGGTACTGCAGCAGACTCCTAAAAGATTATTTTATAGACGTAGGAAAAAAAAAACAATGAAAATGGAGAGCAATGAAAAAGGTGGGAGTAGGCGCTTCCCAGCTGCCGTTTGCTTCCCTTCCTCTCCCCCACTCCATCTGGGAATTCCCTCCGTAAGGAAGTCTTGGGGCTTCGCCCCTCCCCCATCAGTTCCACGAATATGACTGGATCACTTCCTAATTCTTCGCCTCGCAGAGTCCAGGACCGCAGCTCGCTTTCCACGCGTTGGACCAGGGACGCGCAAGCACGGAATTCACCGGGGCAGTCCCGAGGTGCGCGTAGGGAGGCGGCTGCAGGCGCCCTGAGTGCAGAGCCGCCGGCGGGAGAACCGCCGTGGCGGTAGGGGGCGCTGCGCCGCCAGGCAGAAGGCGACCCCTCTCGAACGCCGTCGTAACCGGCGCAGGCGCAGTCGCGTTCCCGTGCCTGGGCTAGGAGCTGAGAAGGCGGAAGCTCGGTTCCGGCGGCGGCGGCGGCGGCGGCGGCGGCCTGAGGGGCCTCGCCCGCTCCTGTGACCGTGCGGGCCTCCCTGACCGCGCGCCTCCCCTCGTTCTACGCGGAGCCTCGCCCTCGGAGCGACCGATAACGGAATAACCGACCAGTGCGGGTAAGTGTCCCGGCCCCGGGAGGCTGTGGCGCAGTGGGAGAAAAGCCCCCGCGCGCTCCGTGCCTCAGTTTACCTCTTCTGGGAAGCGAATGATTGCGGTCCGGCGTCACCGAGGAAAGCGGGACGAACCGGGAGTGTCACGGTCAAGTCCACCCGCACCTATTAAGCACCCTCTGTGTGCTGGGCGCCCGGGGCCGGAGACGGACCCGGGGCTGAGGAAGTGACTCGGAGAGCGCTCGCAGCGCCCTGAGGTACCTCCGATAACGGCTCCGTGGGTCACAGACCGAGCGCCGGGGGCGGGGGGACTTGGGGACCGATGAGGAAACTGAGGCCCAGAGAGGTCCCGTTGGCAGCCTTTGTCGGGGCCAGACTTAAACGCCAGCTTCGGGGAGCCGGAGGCCGGTCCACTTTACAGGTGGGGAAACTGAGGCTTGCGCAGGTTGGGTAACTTACCTGGGGACACACACTAAGTGAGGCAGGATTTGAATTCAGGTCTTTTTAAAATCCTCCCCTTAATTTTGGTGCCTTCCCTGTCGATTGTCTCCAGTTTATCGTGGATACCTCCTTTTTAGTACGTAATTATTGGCGTGCTTATTGGCCTCAGTGATCCCAGGAAAGTCCCTGAGCCTGTTTGCCTCAGTTTCCCCATCGTAAAATGGGGATGCAGCACCTTCCTGCAAGGGTTGTTGTGAGAATCAGATAACAGTTGCAAAGCGCTTAGCATAATAGGTTATGTTAGCGATGATGATGATATTGGTATCAGTGTTGATGTTGTCATTGCCCCACCTCTTAGTCGGTGAGCCCCCTTGAGCCCAGGCATTGAGGTCTGGTTTGTTTTTTGGTCCTTTTTCTCCCTCGTGATTAGCACGGCGCCTGGCACCTAGTAGTAGGTGCTTGATAAATGTTTATTGCCTGACCGGGAAGCTTGTCCTCTATCCCATGCTATGGCACCTCTCAACTCTGTTTCATAGATGGGGAACTTAAGTGACTTGTCCAGGGTCGTATAGGTATTAAGTGTCCAGGTTTTCCCCGCTCTGAGTAAGGCTCCCTCTCCGCCACAGCTGCTGCTTCTTACTGGGCTACATAAGTAACAACACTTCCTAACCGCAGGTGCCGTCTACAAGGGGCCTGATTAGAGCTGGTGGCTCTAGTGTTCGTGTTAGTTAAAGCTAAACCATTAGATAGGAGTGGTCCGGCATTTATGAAGCACTTGGTATGTGTCGGCACCTTGCTAAGCCCTGGGGAAGCCGAGGCAGGCAGAAATAAGACCCCGCCCCCAAAGGGGCTGGCGTTCTCCCAGAGATGACAGCAGGCAAACAGAGCGTGCAGTGGAGGGGGCAGGTAGCCTGCGAGGGAAGTTACTGGCGGTTGGAGGAGCTGGGAACGGCCTTCGATGGAACGTGAGATTTGAGTCGAGTCGTGGAGGAAGCCAGGACTCAGGTGAAGAGCAGAGCATTCCAGGCGGGTGTCTGTCTCTTTGAAGAGCAGCACGCGGGCTAGCTGGCTGTGGTCCTGGGGCTCTGAAGACTGGACGGACAGGATTCATCTGCGCCAGGAACCTAGGCCTTCCTGGTTTAGTCTGTCACACTGGGCTTTCTTCACCCTGTTGGAGCTAGCTCTGCCCTCGCCCCCCCCATCCCCTACTCCCACCCAGTCTGCTGAAGGGCTCCAAATAGAGGGCACCGAGTCAAGGCTGGTAGGTTATAGAAGTAGACCTGGAAGGGACCTTTGAGGTCATCTAGTCCAACCTGAGCTCAGAGGAGAAATGAAGTGACTTGTCCAAAACCACACAAGTAGTCAGTGGCAGAGCTGGGATTGGAACCCTCACCAGGGAAGGCAGTCTTGGAGAGGTGCAATCCTGCTGAGGAACGACTTACATTAGGTTCTCTGCCCTCCTGTGCAACATGTTCAGTTGTTATGTATGTTTCTTCTCTCTGACTGGCTTTGAGTTACGTCTTTATAAAGCTTTTACACAGAACCTTGCTCCTACCTCCCTTTGTCCCTGGCAAAACAAACAAACAAGCCAGCAGGTATTTATAGTTCTCTGGTTAATTCGGAAGAGGGCCTAGGAAGTCCTTCCTCTAAAGTTCAGACAGTAAGAACATTTCTCCCACTCGTCTGCACGCAGTGGTTTCAACCTTTAAACTGTTCCAGACATCAGTTCGATAAAACTGTTCCTGGTATTTGGTGTAGGGGAACTCCACTGTGCATTTGGTAGGGATTTGAACAGAAAGCACCTGAAGAATTCACATTGATTCTTTACTTCAGCTCCATGGTTGTTGTATTACTTTTGATTTAAGGAGAGGCATACTACCAAATATATCCATATATACAGAGAGGTAAGCTATAAAAAAAATTCACAACTGTTGTTACTTCCAATTTCTTTGTGAGCTGAACTACTTTCATTCTGGCTGATAAAGGAAGTAGCCTGGCATCATGGAAAGAACAGTGGGCCTGAAGTCAGGAGCCTTGGGTTTCAGTAGAGGCCCTACCCTTGACACATAAGGTAGCCTTGGCCAGTTATACCAGCATCCAACATGAAGGCCTTAAGGTTTACTGTGAAGTACTTTGTCACGACTCAGTTCACCTCTGGGGACTTCTTAGATGATCTCTGAGATTCCTTATAGGTCTGACAATTTAGGCAGCTATATTTTGCTGATTGAGTGCCTGAGAGATGACAGTACCTTAATGAAGTGGAAAGAGTCTTGGCCTTACAGCCAGAAAATCTGATTTCAGATGAAGCTCTGTCACTTAGGATTGTAACTGGCAAGTCATTGAACTTTTTTCCCCAAAACCTTGGTTTCTTCTCCTGTAAAAGAGAAATAGTAATTGTACTATCTACCTCACATTGTTTTGAGAGGAGAGCACTTTGTAAGGCTTTGTGCCTCCCAGATTGTCACGCTAGAGTAGTTAAATGTGCCCTTGGTCTCTCAGATGCTTTTTTTTGTTCCCATGATTAAGGCCCTTTCATAAGGTTTCCATGACAGCCTACATACATGGTAAATGTTAACACTAGAAGGGACCTCAGAGATATCCAGGCAATCCAGCTTCCCTCATTAATTTACACATGAGCGGACTGACTCCCCGTGGTTACAGTGGTGGATCCAGGACTCACATCACCTCCTTCCAGTCCACCATATTACAGAATACTTTAGAATCACAACTTTAATATTGGCACAGTTAGGTTTACATTGAATTTTAAGAGAACTGTATTCCCAAATTCTGACTGTAGGAATCATTTGTGATTCTTCCCTCTCTCTGTTGCCTGTATTTTAATTCATATATATGAAGTCTGTATTCAGTCTTTTGAATTTTAATTCCCTCCCTTTAATGCTTTAAAAATTCCTATGTTTAATGAACTATGCTTGTCCTTGCATCATAGAATAATCTATGTGAAAGTACAAAGCTTCTCTAAGATACTTCCTTAATAAGTAAAAAAAAAATTAATGGTCCTTTGACAATACTTTGTTTATTTTGCATTTCTCTTTCCTGCAGTCTCTTTCTTTGTGTGTCAGGTGTGATTTTTTTTTTAGCATCCTGTGAAAACTTTGATCTGACTTAAAAACCATGTTTGAAAGCTTATTTGAATCTTTCTTGCTCTTTACTTATCCTTCTTCCCAGCTTCAGCTCTAGCTTCGATGAACCAGTTCTTGGGTCCTTTCCATTCTCCCTTTTCCCTCTCCCACTTCCACCCAGGGAAACCTAACAAGTATTTAGTGATTAGTGGGAACCTCTGGTGTATGGACATATTCTTGATGGTATTTCTACAGGTTGTAGAACCAAAAGAGCTTGTGTTGGTTGCCCGACAACTTTCTAGCCAATTAAAGAAGTCTTTCTCAACTCAGAATACAGAGCTACCAACCCAGAGTCCCAGCAGGAAAGAAAGCTACCAACAGGTCATGGTTCCAGCAGATTAGTGAAAGGGGAGTTGTTGTCTACCCTCACCATTAGTTATCCAATCAGGGTGGAGAAGGCAATAACAAACCACTTTAGTATCTTTACCAAGAAAACCCCAGGTGGGGTCACAAAGAGTCCGATGTGACTGAAATGACTGAACAGCAACAACAGGGTGAGAGCTTTGCTGAGAAAATCATAGCTCTCGTTTGTATAGGACCATGAGGATTTCAAAGTGCCGTACATCTTTTATTTCATCTTTGAAATAAGCCTATGAGGTAGGTGCTGGTATACTATTGTGCCTATTTTATCGTTGAGGAAATAGGCTGCCAGAAGTTCAGTGGCTTTTCCAAGGTCGTACAACGAATACGTACCTGACGTTGGTTTTGAATCCAGGCGTTTCTGACTCTTGAGTTCAGTGGTCTATCACGTACACGTGGACATTTGGAAATCATCTAGCTTAATACCTCTCACCCCTTGTAACAAATATACACAGTGAACAGTTTCCCTCATTGGTTATGTCTAAAATGTGTGTCTCAGTCTCCATGTTGAGTCCATCACCAGGAGGTGTAGCCTGGCTGCTTTTTCCAAAATGTTTTTTAAATTTGGAAATGATTTCATTTGGCCCCTTCTTTCTACAGATATGGACACTGAAGCCAAGAGAGGTGAAGCTGCCTGCCCAAGGTGATGGCTCTTGGTGGGGGAGCCAGGGTGAAACCTCCCGTGTCGCCTTCATCCCCTTCTGTGGCCTTTCTAATGTACCAGACTGCCTAGAGGCAACAGGAGAAACCAAGGGCCTGAAGTCAGGAAGACCTGAGTTCAGATCCAGTCTCAGACACTTACTGATTTTGTGTCTCTGGGCAAGTCCCTTCACTGCCTTCTGCTTTGGTTTCCTCAACTGTAAGATGGGGATGACATAGCATCTGCCCCCTAGGGTAATTGTGAAGGTTGAGATAATTTTTATAAAGTACTAACCTAAAGGGCCTGGCACATAGTAGGTGCTAATAAATACTTGTTTCCTTCCTGGTGGCATGTTCTTCCATTCCTTGAAGGAACTTGGAACTACATAGTCTCATCACTTTGCTTACCAGAAAACCAAATATAAA